GTGGTCCTGGTAGTTAAATCTGGTACATTGCGTGTTTCTTGCAGAGAGGTGTTGTTTAACTCACTCCTTGATAAAACCAGGCCTCGGAGTCTTGGTATGTTGTAAACAAAAACACGCCCTGAAAGAGATCCAACGGAGCAACCCGTCGTCGTCTCCGGGTCTCTCGGAACGAACCCAACCACCGTGACCGGCCCGGCTCGGCTCCGTCGGGGAGACGGAGCCGACTCCTCCGAGGCCGTCACTCACCATGTGCGTTCGATAAACGGACGGCATCCCAGGATACCTCCGTTCTTGGCGTCGAACGAGTAGACGGGTTCGAAAGGTCAAGAAACGATCGGGTGAGGTCGACCCGAGGCGCGAATTTGTTTTGTCTTTTCGATGCAAAGGGCGCGTCTCTGGGCAAGATGAAGGGTGATGTAACTTATGCCTGGAGTCATGGCAACTGATCAAAAGAAGAAGAAGAAGAAGAAGAAGAAACGCTCAGAAGATGTTCTGCTCTGACTTACCAGAATTCTGAACGGCTTGGACTCAACAGTCCAAACCATTGGCACCCAGATTCCGCGCGCCGCGTGTCGCGCGTGTTCAGCCCTCCGTGGGCACGAGGGGGACATGGTGGTTTCGGTGAGCACCTGGCACGCGTGGTCAAACCACACACCCGGCAGTGAGATGCAGTGTTTTGCCCAGTTCTTCCGGAGAAATGGAGGTTCATCCTGACTACACCGGAACCTGCATAACCATGGAACCGGACAAACCCACTGGTTGACATGCATTGACTCGTGGCTTTGATACCCACTGGTTTGGTTGACGGGCGATCCGACATGTGGCCCCGAAGGCGTCTCTTGAGGTCGTGTACAATGTGCAGGAGCAGTGGGCAACTGGTTTGATAAGATCCAACTCAAAGCTTCTAAGAGCCTTCTTTTGAAGGATTTTCAATCAACTTATGAACTACATACTATAGTCACTAGTCCTTTCTAGATTCTCCATGGTGTCAGTGTCCAATGGTCGATGTTGACCACAAAAAACCAGCTCCAGAAGTGAGAGAGACGTCCTTGCAGATCTGATGGATGTACCCACCCCCTCACTGCACCAAACACTGAAAGCTCACACCCCGGCCACTCACTACCGCTTGCACGTCTTCCGCTCTGTTCCTTGTCTTCCGCCCCTTTTTCCCTCCCAAACAGGCGCTGTCGTCGGGCCCTCAGAGGTCTGTCATAGCCATAGTGTTACTCTTCGCGGTCCGGTCCAGGAACCAGCTCCCGCCCACGGAAAGATTACGCTGTGAACCCCGAGTTCGGATCGCGCGCCGAGGGAGCTGCTGAGCTGCTGAGCTTGGATGTGGAAGGTCCAAACCAAAAGACTCCATGCCCAGTCCACCGTCTCAGTGACTTTGTTGTTTTTCCCGAATGCGTAGCGAAAGGTTCTCGTTTAACTCTGGGGGTCTGGGGGTAGAGCCTTGTTCGCGACCCGTTGTTTCTGCGTCCGCAACCATCCGCAACCGTTCGCAACGTTCCGCAAACGTCCGCCGCCGTTCGCAGTAGGGCGCTAAGGCCGCTGCCATTGGGGGAAACTTTTGGAGAGGGTTTCGGATGGAAACGTGACGCGTCAGATTCGTGTGAAATAGCGTGGAAACATGTGGAAATGTAAGATGTTGAAGTGTGGAGGTTGATTTCACTGCGCAGGCGCAGGTGGTGTTTTTGGGGTGTTGGATGTGGCCGTGCCATTGGGGGTTGCCTTTCAGGGTGTTGCATCGAAGCTCTGTTTTCGTTACAAGTCTCAGCTGAAATGGCGATTTTGGTGGTTGGGAGTGTGCTCAGAACGGGTCGAAATCATTCCAAACGTGTGGTGTGGTGCAAATTTTGTTGAGGCTCACATGATAGGATAGTCACTTTTCGTGGCAGGCGCAGCACTTTGTGCGGGTTTTGAGGTGTGGAAGTGCGATTTTTGTGGCAGGCGCAGGGAATCGTGAGGCTGCGAGGTGTGACGGAGGCGACAGTTCGTGGCAGGCGCAGTACTTTGTGCGCGTTAGACGTGTGGACGCGGAAAGATTTCGTGACAGGCGCAGGGAATCGTGAGGTTGTGAGTTGTGGTAGAGGTGGATGTCGCTGTGACATTGGGATTGGCGTGTGAGCGGGTGTTGTCTGGAGGGGCTGGAATCGCGAAACTGCTTGGCAGGGCTGCGTGATGTGTGTGCTCCGATGGGTGTTTCCGCTTGACTTTTGGAGGAGGTCAAACGCTCGTTTTGCAGACTTTGACATGTGAGTTTTTGAGGATGTCTCGTACGAAACGCTCGTTTTGGAGACTTGACGTGTGACTTTTTGAGGATGTCTCGTAGGAAACGCTCGTTTTGGAGACTTGACGTGTGACTTTTGGAGGAAGTCTCGCACGAAACGCTCGTTTTGGAGACTGTAGGCATGACTTTGGAGAACGTTACCTACGAAACGCTCGTTTTGGAGACTGTACCCCTGACTTTGGAGGAAGTCTCGTACGAAGCGCTTGTATAGTGTGTGGGCAGATCGTGTGGCGACACCACGTTCGTGATGTCGCAGCGCCATTGGGATTTGTGCGGCCTTGGTGGGAAGTGTGTTTGCGTGGCGCCGTGCCACTGGGGAGCGCGAAACATGCTGGTGTAAACGCGGCGTGTCGCTGGTGAGCGGGATGATTGATGGTATCAAGAGTGTCCCAAAAGAGTGCCCCGCAAGAGCTTCCTACAAGAGTGACCCACAAGAGTGTCCTAGAAGAGTGTCCCACAAGAGTGTCCGTCTCAGAAGAGTGTCCCACAAGAGTGTACCAGATAGAGTGTCCCATAAGAGTGACCCACAAGGGTGTCCCACAAGAGTGTCCCACAAGAGTGTCCCGTAAGAGTGTCCCACAAGAGTTTCCTACACGAGTGACCCACAAGAGTGTGCTACAAAAGTGTCCCAAAAGAGTGCCCCACAAGAGAGTGGCCCGCAAGAGTGTCCTGCAAGAGTGTCCCACAAGAGTGTCCCACAAGAGTGTCCTACAAGAGTGTCTCACAAGAGTGTCCCACAACAGTGTCATTTGGACATATGTAGCTTTTTGAACGTGTTTGCATTCGGGTTCGTGGGCTCCATCTTTATTTTAATGGAGTGTCTATTGAGTAAGCAGGGTCCGCTTTGCTCCTGGCAGTGCTGAGTGACCCCTGTTTAAGATTTGGTGAACCCCACTCAGACAAAGTTCAGAGCCCAAATAGAAGAGTGCAAACCATCTGAGCCCAGAGTTTCGGGGTGATTGGCTCTTGACACGCATGCACAGCCACCTCTTGACACGCATGCATTCTCATGCCTTTCTTGGGTCTCGTCTAGTCGGCATTGCATCCGAACTGGGACAGGTCGTCGACATGAACAACCGGAGGATGAATTTTACTTTGAAGCCGAATTCGTGCCTGCCTTCAAAATGGACGATATTCCTTGGCAGAGCATGTTCCGTGTCAACCGATACTGTAGGGCATTTGGTCCGGAATTGCCCCTGTGGCGTTCCCGATCTTCGCAGACTCCAGCCGCACCCCGCGCGCGCCAACCCCACTTTCGCGAGGCGGAGATCGAGCTGGCCCCGCACCGAACGACTGGGCTGTCACCGGTCATTGAATACGTTCGGAGTCCCAACAGTGGAAACAAGATGGTTCGGGGAGTCTGTTCCCCATTCTTCATCCCGAGGTGGTCAACTAGACACACCTAGTGACTCCCAATCCCAAGTCTACCAGATTTAGAAGGCTTCTTCCGTCTGGCCATGGGTACCTTCGATGCTAAAATGGCCGGCGGCCTGAGCTGATGAACTCTATCTGGGGGGTCGTCCCGGACAGATCGGTCAGACCAGGTGAGCTTACGAATATCTTCGGAGAGGTCCGGGACTGTCCATGAGACTATCTAACCAACACAAAGCAAGCACCAGCACGGGACGTGTCAGCGGGTCAACAACCTGTTCTCTTCGAAGAAAGGGTTCTCATCTTCTCCGCTTCGACGAGACGAGGCTCGGTCCGGTCCGGTCCATGGTCGACAATCGATCTAACCTCCACTTTCGCTTGCACCAACACAAGTAAGCGGGCGCGGCCGACACAAGTGTGCCCGACACATGCCTTATTCGTGATATACGTAGCTAGAACCTCTTCTTGGGCAGACATGTCTGCCTAGGATGGAAAATATGGCCTATAATGGGGTTCTAGGATGTTCTACGTATTGACATATCTTGACGGAGTCCATGTTTGCATACATTGTTTGCACCACCTCCGACCCAACGTCCGATGCACACATGTCAACAACCGTCATGATGTGATATGAATCATGAATCATGACCAAAAAAACATGACCAAGCTGGTGTGGCGGATTTGTGCGGCTTTGACCAAACAAGTTCTGGCACCACTTGCCAAACTCTCGCCGGTGACACCCCACAAAACGCGCTCGTCCACCCGTGCGGCGTTTCTACGGTCCAAAATGACGGTCCCGAGCGGCGGCTGGGGATGTGGATCTGTACGTCGTCTTGTGGTCATCTCTCGGATCAATTTTACATTGACACCACATGGCACCACATGGCACTCCAGGCCGAAGGTGGTTTTCACATGTTTTCACAAGCAACCTGTTGGGCGGGAAAAACCTCGCCAAACGCGTTGATGGAGCGAACACATGACATCACATGACATCCCGAGAAGCCGCAAAGCAGCGAAGGCGGAGCTTGACCTGACCTCGAACAGGGTGAACATGTGATGACAGGGGAGTTGCCTGCGAATCCATTGGGCCTGAAATGGTGAGAGAGGCAGCTCTGACCTCAGCGACTAGTTTGCGGAAGGTGCCGAAGGCATCCGGACTAAGGCAACCAAACCTTGCGACCACCTGGCAACCACCTCAAAGACCAAAAAGAGGAAAGCCTGTTCACGAACCAGTTCGGAACGGTGCACGATCCTAGTCTCCAAGCCGAGACACACCTCCTCCCAAACACGGCAGGTTGGGGACACGCTCTCACGAAACGAACAAGTTCCATTTCCATATGGCACCTTTTGGTCAAGGCCAGGTACAGTATATCAGGAGACTGTCCACTGTCTCGTGGCTCCCAGCGGAAAAGCCCTGTGTCAGGCTACATCCCCACGCCGCCATGCCCGGTCTACTGGTCTCTTGCTCACTCTGTCTTGGCCTGGCCAGTGTTCACACCCTCCCATCGTTCGCACCAAGCCATTTTCCCCAACCATACGCCATAAGCCCAACCCGGTGAGAAAGCATCCAAAAAGAAACCAAGTCCTTTAGGGATGCACCAAGCCTCTGAAAATGCCCGGTCTTCGTCTTCCCCAAAAATCTCAACAGCTTCCTCAGGTTCTGCCAGAAAGCCCGTTTCTCCCGTCTGCGCATGCTTTCCGGCACATCTTGTGACTCGCTCCGAAAAGGAACAAAACTACGGCACATATGTGAATCATAGTGAATCATAGACGGTTTGGAACTCATGAGTATTTGCAGGTCAATGAACTGCCCTCCACTCGAGTGAATTGTAATACATGGCATGGCCAGCCTGGGAACTGAGAATTGCCCTTCCTTCATGGCATGGCTGCGTCATCACTGTTCAAAAGGCCCCAGTATTCTCATATTGTAGATCTTAGATCTATACTATGATGGAACACTATGGATCCCGAGAACCTCTGGAATAGCTATTATAGACCCCTAAGAAGAACTTCTTTGGTGGCGGGCCCCGCATGTCCCCTCTTCAGCGGGCCGAAAGAGGTGTCAGCCTCGAATTCAGGGGCCCATCGATGCAGCAGAGCCGTTCAAAACGCCCTGCCATCTGTTCGTCGTCTGTATTACGACAAACCACTGACAAACCACACCGCCACGAAAATTTTTTTGTTGCCTGTGGTGCCCCAATTCTGACCTCCACGGACCTCCAAAGCAGCCCAGACACCTCCCACACCTGCCACCCCATTCCGCCGATGTCCGCCTTCTTGGCGTCGGGCTCCTGCACCTCGCCGTCATCTTCAGCTCCCTCGGCCTCGTCCTCCAGCAGCTCCTGGGCGACGGGACGGTCGAATAAAAAAAATGAGTCCAAGAAACACGAGTTTGAAGACCGGACGAATTTTGATCGGCCTTTCCTTGCAGAAGTGTCTTGACTCCAGAGTCCCATCCACTGGAGTCCCATCAAACTGAGATGTTGATTTTCGCGCATACATTTGTGTCAACCCCCTGGGTCACGAGGTCCACCCCTGCGACCAATCCCCTGGGTCGCCAAATGGCAGGGGCCAACACGAGTCCAGTGGGCTTCTACACATTCTTTAACTAGTGATGTTGATAAATCAAACCCCCGCGGTTGTGCGTCATAAAATCCGCCCACACCGCTTGCGGTGCAGGGCATGTCAGGGGCGGGTCAAGCTGGAATCATCGTCATCATCACATCGTAAGCATCAGTTCATAGCTCTGCTAGGGGGTGCTTTTTTTTGTTTCGGGGAAAAGCGTCTTATGCCTCGAGGGCCATGGGGGAGAGCGTTTTGGAGGTACATGTTTGTATTATTTTTGTGGCTTCGTTGCGACATTTCTGTAAGAACTCAAACAACCCAAAAAACGGGCACCCACGATGCTGAAAAACCCTCCTGACCAGCAACGCATAACCAGCATTATTGCAAAAACCCAACGCAGCCTCAACACATGGTCACCAAACGATCAAGCTAGCCTTGACATGATGTAATGTGGACTAACCAAGCGGGGGCAAGGCCACAAAACGGTCGAACTTGGAGCCTGAGTTGGCTTTAACATGGCCACCAAACGAGCGAACTTGTGCGTAACTCAGCCGCAACATGGCCATAGAAATACTGGCATGTGCAAAATTTTTCGACAGAATGTGAATTAAGAAGTTGGAACGCACTGACGCTGCCCCAAACTCAACTTTTTTTTGTCGTGAGCTGTTTGCGCAATGGCACGGTGTTACCACTTCTCCGTGTCGTCTTTGGACACCACTCTCGACCTCCCCTGTCCACTCCAGCAGTCTTTCCCCAGGCGACCGAAAAAAGAAAGAAGGTGTGGGCGGCGGTCGACGCGAAGCGTCAGGAATAGGGAGGCCCCTACTTCATGCCCTTCCTGACCTTCTTTTAGCCCCCTTTATAGATCAATGGCGTTCCTGCTCGACCCCTGTTGAGACACCTCCGTATCTCCGTATCGGGCCTTCAGTCTGAATACACAGGGTGGCCATGGGCCATAGCATCTTTCACAAAGAAGGAAGGGGCAACGGATGGTCAAGTGGCCTTGCCAGCGATGGTCGTACCTCCGTACTTGAGCTATCAACATGTATATTTGAGGGTTTGGGCCACAGAACTTGAAGAGATCCTTCGTAAGATCCACCCACTCTTGGCCTTCCGAGCGATTGGCCCTTCATCGGCTCCTCTTCTTCACCTTCAAGATCCATCAACTCTTCTTCCCCATCTTCGAGGAACTTCTCCTCGCGCCATCACACGTGGTGTGCGTTGTCGGCCCTTCCGCCGGAAACACGAGCGGTCCGCCAAGCGGAGCCGGGCCTCGTCCAGGACCTTCTTCCAATCAGCCGCCGTCATTTTCGGTGGCCGTTCCTGGGATCAGAGGGGGGAGGGGAGGCATGGCAGGCGTGTAGTTGCGCCTTTGGTGTCGTGTGCCAGAAGCGGAACCGCAGCCAAAAACAACCATTGACCATTCATCGTGAGTGGAAACTCCACCCGGAAGACTCAAAAAATGACAGGAACTTTCAAATCAAGATGGATCAAATTTGAAAGACTCAGAAGATGCCTCTTCTGGGATCTTGTCCTTCTGGGCCTCGAAGTAGTCGTGGGCCTGGCTGGCATGGCACGACATTATAGTTGACCGAACCTCCCCCTGGATCAGGGGAAACCATGGGTTTCCCCCAATGTCATGTAAGATTGCTTGAAGATCTCTGAAGATCTCTAGAGGTAACGCGTTGACGCGTCTCACCCTGTCTTGACACGGGACCCTCTGGTCCCTCTCCAAACGAAGCGCGCCGCGCCTTCACGAAGGCCTCAGCTGTACCTGACGCAACAAGTTTGGTGTTTTTCTCTGAAAGCTTTTTTGTGGGCCACATACGGTCCAAGGAATGGAGAAGTCCAACCTGTCTTGCCTCAGCATCTTACATTACCAATCTCATGAGTGTGTCTTGCCTCAGCCTGTCTTCAACCCTTCGAAAACGCCGAACCGACCAATCTCGATTGGCTCAGTTGCCTTTGCACCCCAGCTTCTCGAGCATTTGCTCCACATCGTCATACTCCTCGAGCATTTAGGCACGACCTGGGACCTCCCCAAAGGCACAACCTTGGACCTCCCCAAAACAAGACACCGTTTTCAGATTTACGGTGCGACCCCTTTGGGTTTATGGTGTGCATCAATTCATAGCATATCACCATCATAGCATAGGTTTATGATTGTAGGAATTCATAGCATCAATTCATGTACAACCATAGTTTCCATCATAACATGTCATAATAACATCAGATAATGGCATCACATCATATCGCCTCATTCATGTTCATCATATTTCATCATCAAAATCATCAACATCAAAGCATTGTATAACCTCAGTCATTTGTAGGAATAAAATCTATTCCAGTAAATGTGTTTTTCCTGAATCAATCTGGTTAAACATTATGTAGTTTCATTCATAATAGCATATCATGAATTCCCAAACATAGTTTTGACATCATCATAAATTATCATAAATGTTAATCATTTGTGTGAGATTAAAATCATAAATCTAATCGTTATACAATATTGATAGAATTACAGTCTTAAAGGTTTGAACCTGTGTACAATATGTCCATAGCTTGCTCCTTCTTATGATATGATGTTCTAATGTGTATGCTGTTTTCATGTTGAAGCGGGCATACCATTCTCACATGTGTGACAATAATACATAGTAACACCAGCAATGTCTTTTACCAAAACTGGCTTGTCACCCTCTTCAGTTAGCAATTCAACTTTTCAAGAACTCAATATTGTGTAAAATACGGTCTTTCTGATACTCTGTGATCCCTTCTAGTCTTTTCTGCGTTCTGTACTCAGTTCTGATCTATTTCTACTATATCTATATACATTAAATTTCTGTCAATGTATCGATGTCCTTTATGTATTACGTATTCAGGTTCTCCAATCGTATGGGATACAATAAACATACACATCAACTCGTAAATATGGTTACAAATTACAAACCACTATGATATATATATATATAAATGACCCAACAAGAGCAGGTAGATACATTGATTTGCCCGGATTTGTTAAGTTGAAAAAATGTGTTGCAATATCAAGAACGAAGACAAAACATGTTCCAATCTAGTCCATGATAAGATTACACAATACCATCCTGAAGCAATGTTCCATTGCAAAAAGTTAGATGATGACATTATCAACTGGGATGGCATGAACTTCCCTGCAAGTAATATAGAGACATTGACAAACTGGAAGCAAACAACAACAACAACAAGAAGAGGAACAGCAACAACAACAACAAGAGCAACAACAATGGTTTAATCTCAATCAATATTTTTGAACCTGATTACCTCCTGAATGAGGAAAAGGTGATTAAGGCAAGAATAAGTAAAGCTCAAAATGCGAAATATCACATGATTTACTTAAGATGTGTGATGGAAAAACCAAAATCATGTTTGTAGTAGTAGAGAATATCTGCAGATTGTTAAGTACTCAAGCAAATAGAGCAAAAACACCAAAGCACTTTTGTAGGTACTGCTGTCACCCATTCACCACTGAAAACGGTTTGAACAAACATGATTCCAAACGGTTGTAAATCTGTTGAAGGTCAAATTTTCTAATTACCTGATAAGGGTGCATACATTGAATTTCTAAAATACAAGATCAATTTGGAATGTCCATGTGTCAATTACGGTGATGTTATACAAATGTCTAACCGTCAAATGAACATATTAAGGGCACATGTCAAGAAGCCACCTCAAGTGGTGCTACACTTTGAAGCCACTGATCCCATGACTCACTCCAACAGATTCCACCCATTGACTCTCCTCTCCCACGCCCCGGAAATGTCCCTCCTCTCCCACGCCGCGCATGTCCACCGGGATCATCATCTCGCTGTCATCCACCTGGAGAAGCCAAACGTGCTATCGAACGGAGCTATCCTCGGATCGACCGGATTTCGCCGTCGTGATCTGTCGTGATCAATCATGGCTGCGAGGTCTCGCAGGTCCTCACGTCCTTCCAACCAAAAACCCTCGGAACATCACGAGGAATGCGTGAAAAAATAACAAAAAAAAACTCCTGCCTTCTCGGGCAACGTCAGCTCGTTCACCAGCTCTTGCGTGATCTCCTCGCCGTTCCTCGGGGGCGCTGTATATACCTACGACGAAAACCGGGCGAGCAGCGCGCTTCTCGGAAGCAAGGTGGATGTTGGTGCGGCGCCACTGTTGGGGTGTGTTCCTTTCAAAGTTATCAAAGTACTCGCCCTGGAACTAACATGGATGTGGAAAACACCCCTTAGTGTGTTGAGGAAAAAAGTCTTTCAAAGGGCCATGCTATCCACTTCCATGTCAGTTCCAGAGAGTGTAGCTGTTTCTGAGCTCCTGATGTCGTGGGTCATGGTGCCACGATGATGAAAAGACCATCTTTGGACCGGTGTGACTCGTAGTGCATGAAGGAATTACCTATAGGTACCAAAAGACAAAAAACAGGTCAGTTACCAAAAACAGACCTTACGGATCCATTCCCTCATTCCTTACCCAGTTGTTGGAAAAACCGCTCAGCCGACCCTGCACAGCCGACCCCGCACAAGCTGTTTCAGCCGAGCTGCTTCAGCTTCCTGAGCACCAACTGAGCAACTTCAGATCTCCCCATGTCGGGTGGGTCTGCAGGTCTTTCCCCTAGCTCAAACCATTTGCCTCCGGAAATCGGATGCCTTTTTGATGGATATCAGCATAGTAGTTTTTTAAGAAGATTCTTCTACCAGGTAGTGGTGTTACATGTCATGTCCTGAGAGTAAACCAGGTCGGTGAGATCGAATCGTCAGTTGCTCTCACGTCACAAAACCCTTCCAAACACGTGTTTTTTTCGCCAAGGACCTGGGTACTGGTGGTTGACTGCGTTCTGGCAGGTTGTTCATCCTACTATATATAGTATATAGTATCATTTATATATAGTGCATGTGTATTCATGTGATCATTTCCTACTAGTTCATGTGAGGATCGTGTGTCAGTAGGTGGTGTAGGTCCTCCCTACCCACGGTTCCTTCGAGCCACTCCTTCACTGAAGTCAGGGTCTTTTCGCACACGTAGAAGATATCCTGCCGTTGGGGCACCGAATCGCCGAATCGCGCACCGAAACGGGTGGGATGTGATGGGCGGATTTCCACTGTAGGATACACATACGTGCTCAAGACATGCCCGGGGGACCTCGGAAATTCCAGATCATGCGATGAAAAATCCTTCATCTTCGAAGCCAGCTAGCCTTTTCCATCAGAACTATTATATATATATATATATATCACATACACTCCCTGAAGCAAACATGAAAGTGGACAACTCCCTGTTTGAGGAAAGTAATATTCCAGGCGGCCATTGTCCAGTTCCATGATTGTTCGAGGGAGGGTATATCAGATCATGGGAGGCTGGCTTTCAGCGGGTCCCCTTCCACAGCCGAGCTCCTGGGACGGAGTGTCCACGAAGGAAAACCCGCAGCACCCGAAGACCCAGACCATCTGTGCGGGGGCAAGCTGCTTTCAGCACCATCACATCTATGAATCCAGCTCCTCATTCCCAGCTCCGCAGAAATTCCCCTGAACACACTCAAGAGGAGAATGGCTCAGTACGTCGAATCCTTCAACAGCCAAAGGTTTGCTTGGAGTTGGTCAAGCTCGAATGGAACTTCGCCGGGAAAGAGCTCAAATGGAGTGTGCACCAACGAAAGGAAACCGTTTCGGAGAGGGTGTTGTTTCTCTCGATCGAGAAGCCAAAGAAACCCCGCTTTCTTGGAATGGAACGAGCAAAACCATACAACAGAAGCCACCTCCAAGAAACTTCCAAGCCATCATTCCGAATCATTCCCCTTCCCCGGCCAACTGAACTTTCCCCCCATCACAAAACCCCCGCCACTCCTGCTCAGGAACTTCAGCCATGATGTCGCAGGGGTGGGTTTTCCAAGAAATCGCGGTTCAACGGGAAAGGATCAAAGAAAGAATGGGACCCACTGGACCGATTTGCCAATCTAGCCTGCGATGTTTCGATGTTTCTGCCGCGGTTGACGAGACCCTCTACGTCAGCCCAAAGGGCAGCAGTTGGATCCGGTCAGAGTGTACCGTGTCAATCCCGCCAACAAAGCTGCCAAAAGTTCTCCAAAAGAGCAGTATTGGGCGAAAATGTACAGCTCATGAAGAAGCCATGACCTTCAGACCATCTCGTGCTCTGAAAGAATTGTCACCAGTTCTCTTCATACTTGAAAGATCTTACAACAATAATTCTGCTTTGCTTACAGATCCAAGCAAGGATCTTTGTTCCTTGGTGTTATCCGAACAGTCTGATGGGGTGTTCCCATAGAAGGATAAAGAAGGTTGAGGTCTTGCAATTGACAGTGATCAAATTCTAATTCGAAGACAACGCAAGATTGGCGACAGTCAGAGTCAGAGCTCACAATTTTTGTCACAGCGTGCCACAGAGAGAGGAAACTGCAAACCTGTGGTTGCTCTTGACCTTGTAGACATTGCTACAGCAGTACAGCATGCTGTTCCATTTATGGTTCATCGAAACAATGGACAGTCACAGAATGGGACGACAGGAAAAAGAATTCAGGGCATCTCCGGCCATTTGCTGGCCAAGTAGGCAACAAAGAACTAATGTCATGCAAATCTTGGAATCCCATTCTCAGATTTGTCAAAGTGTCAGCTACCTTCATTGCCGTGCGCACATGGGAGCCCCAGTTCTCGTAGCTGTCAACTTGCAAACCTGCACCGTCCCGACAGCGTGCGCGTGGCGTGCGCAACGCCCGCGCTGTTCGGTGAGTGGACATGGAACTGGTGAGAAACCGTGGGAGTGCGCCACGTGCCCCCAGGTCTAAACCAAATGGTTGTTGATCAAAACTCCTTCTTGCTGGAATGCCATTCTTCGCGAAAAAGAACTAACTTTCGCGAATCTTTCGCGAACTCCATGTTTAACTTTCGCGGGGGGTATATCCTCCAGAAACCTTCTTGGTTTAGTGGTTCTACATAGCAGCCTAAGCACTTCCATCAAGCCATTTTGGAGCTGCAGGCAAGGTTGAGGTGTTACAAGGCAGATTGGTGAGAACTCTCAATCGCCACCATTGGATGAATCAGCAGAACTGGTGGAGGATGAGCTGGAAGAGCTATCAACTGTTGTTGCGGTCATGTCTTGCTAGGTCTGTCGCTGCTTGGCTTGGGCAGGGGTCCACAAAACAAGCCTTCAGATTCGCCTATGCTTTCGCGGAACTTTCGCGAATCTTTCGCCAAAAAATGTCGCGTCATTGGTGGGCTTCTAGGCGCAAAGCGTAACAACCAGTGGGAGCAGCAGCAGCAGGAGGAGGAGTAGTAGGCAGTGGTAGTGGTAGTGGTAGTGGTAGTGGTAGTGGTAGTGGCAGTCGCAGTAGCAGTAGTAGTAGTCGTAGTCGTAGTCGTAGTCGTAGGAGGAGTAGTAGTAGTAGTAGTAGTCGTAGTCGTAGTCGTAGTCGTAGCGGCAGTCGCAGTAGCAGCAGCAGCAGCAGCAGGAGCAGGAGCAGGAGCAGGAGCAGTAGCAGTAGGAGTAGTAGTAGTAGTAGTAGCAGCTCACACAGCACCGTTGCAAATCACTGATGATGGTATCGCCTCTTCATGTGTACAATATATATATATAGGATAATAGACTCTTTCGCAGATCTTTCGCAAAAATAGAAAATAGCTTTCGCGAACTCGAGAAAAAACTTTCGCGGACAACTTGAAGAGGCTCTCAGTGGCATGGGCCTTCTGTCGACCTTTCGATCGACTTCCAAGTGTCGACCATCCCTTGACTGTGGGCCACAAATCAACTTCCGTCCGAAATCTGCGACGTCGGAAAACTGCACCCCGCTTGATAAAAGCACCTATCAATCAGGCGCCAGCACTTCGTCGAACGAGCGAACTCGGCGTGTCTGAATGGAGCGGGACCCGTTGCATTGTCGTCTGAGAACTCACACCTAGCTACAGCCGCCCAATGTACTGTTCCATGAAAATCGGAGGTCTCACCATGTAAAGACACACCCATTGCCTTCCAAAGAAAACCAACCAATCCATGCGGATGTCTCCTGTCTTCCCTCAAAACTTTTCCAGCACGACTGGCCTCAAACTGGTCCGTCGCTGGGCTCCTGGCTGGTGAAGGGGAGAGGGTTCGAAGATCGAAAAGAAAAGGCCTCTTGGAGGTGGTATGAGTCATGAGATGGTCTTGACCTTTTCAGACGCAGGACATGGATGGTATGGAGGGGAACTGCAATTGATACTATGGATTCTTCCTTTCCTCCTCTCCCGAGGCGACAAATGGTGCCTTGCTATGGGTGAAATCTTGATCAATCAAACAGCACGTTCCTCTGCAAGACCAAGACCTGCTTCTTCCCAGTGGAACTGTTCCCCCTCTCGATGCCTCCAGTTCCGCGAGCAAGTGCTGCAAGCGCCTCTGCTGCTCAGCATGCACCTCATGCAAAAGCTTCATCAAAGGATCATTGGAACATTGAAACCTGCTAGGGATCCTATTAGTTGCTCGTGATGTCGCGCTTGGCCCCAAAAATCATGGCTGGGGTGGTTTTGCCACTCACCTATAGGACTCCATGAAGCAGTTTACACTCCCTGAAATAATCATGGAAGTGGAAAACCACCTGAGGGAAGATGGTCTTCTCAGGGGCCAGTTTCCACTTCCATGATTGTTTCAGGCGTTGTAGATCTCAAAGCTATTCCATCTGGCCCAGAAAGAGGGCAGGAGACCATTTTCTTCATGGTGCCTTCCAATTCTTTTCCGACCAAGCCATGAGTTCTTGTTCAAGGTGTTGTTGTTCAGAACCACGGGGTGTGACAAAAAGGGTTTCAAAAAGGGTTTCTGGCCCAGTCGGAAGCCCCCAGTTCATCTGCTTCATCCACCAGGAACCCCCCTGACCTCTTTGTGTTCGGCTCCTAGGGGCCGCCAGGCGCTGTGTGCCGCGCGCGTGGCCAACGCAACGCCGCTGCGCGTGGCCAACGCAGCGTGGCCAACGAGACGAACAAACCCGCCTCCTCTTCGATCAGCTCATCCTGGAAGCATCTGAGAAGCACCAGTCGTCCGTCGTCCGTCGCCGCATTTCTGGACATGCGGGTGTCGGTGTTGCTCAAGAATGCTGGTAATGCTACAGAGGCTGAAGAGATTCATTAGCACATCTGTATTGGGGAAACGATCGAAGCACAGAAACGGGATGGTTGGCTGGAGAGCTGAGGCTTCGTCTCTTATCTTAAGGTTCACAGACTCTACAAACTGAGCTGAGCTCGAAGCCAAAAGGTGATTTTGCATGATTGTGCTGTGTTTTGTCTCTTTTCGACTGACATGCATGTGGGAGTTGACATGTGGACGAAGGAGAGAGGCCGCTCCTCCACTGCTTCACATTTTGGAGATTCCCCCCACTGTGGAAACCAGTTCAGAACCCCCATCGATCTCCACCAACAGCACGTGCCCTGCGAAAAACGCTCAAAAGCACCCACGCAGAAACCGGATCCGTCGCTTGCCCACGCGAGCCGCTAATCCTCCAAAAGCTCGTCCAACTCGCGCAGTTGCTCCCGGAGCTCCGCCTCATCGCGGTTCGGGCGATGGTTCCGGCGAGGGTTCCGACGAGGGTTCCACCCCCGCACGAGCCGCAGCAGAACCACCGTGGTGAGTTTGGGCCGAGGATTTCAGCAGGTTTCAACCCAGACGTCGAGGCTGCGAGGGTTTGAAGATCCCGAAGGTTGAAGTCAAGACTCCCCTCTCTTGGGAGATGAGTCAGGTTGGATATTAGATCTGAAGTTAGGGAATCTATCTTTCAGGAAACCTCAGGCGACCTTGGAATCCAGCTTGTCCTGTGCTACTGAGCCACCCCAGACTTGCCAAATGAAACCCTGTAATCACATCAAGAACTGTCTGATTGATCAAAACTGCAACACCACTGCCACCGAACTAACTGATTTTAGAGAACTCCCATTGGGAACTGCCAGTAGGACCCCCTTCAACCAACTGTCAAAATAGCGAAAATAGATCAAAACGCCGGGTGCTCAGATGGTTGAGGCCTTCAAGAAGACTTCAATTGGATTCAAGTTTGGTCCATTTCTGTCCAGAGACCTGCCGGATCCGGCCTCCCGCTCTGCAGAGGGCCTCGGAGCTTTCACCACTGGGAGTTCTTCAGCCACCGCGTCCACCTGCCTCGGGCGGCGGCGGGGTCGGCTGTCCAAACGGCACGGCTGTCCACACATCTGGTTGCTTCTGACGATGTCAACAGCTCTGTTCATGCGAATTATGCCCTTGCCGTGCACATGACCAGCACAATGAAGACTAAAAGAGTAGGCTCAGAAACAACAAAAAGGATGGCCTTGCCATCCCCTTGCTCACCTTTCTTGTCAAACTGTGCAAAACCTCTGGGAAAAAGAAGTCCAAAATAGTCCAAACACTCCTCCCTCTTCTCATTTCGACCACGACGACCACCCGCGCCCGCCTCCGACTCCGACTCGCCGACTGCCGACTTCACCGGTCCCCCACGGTCCCCCACGCCGCCTCTCGGAGTGCAGCTCCTCTCGGGAGGCGACGCCGGCCTCGTGCAGCAGCCGCTGGAGCTGAATCGCATGGATCTCCTGGCCCAGTTCGCGGTCGGTCCGGACGAGCTGGAGAAGCTCGCAAAGTGTGGGCGCGAAGCTGTTTGGATTGGAAGGCCTGTTTGATTGTACCGGTGGATGTTCAAGTCGTAGGGACACTATATACTTATGAGTGTTTGCATCCTTGAAAGGTGAATACCAGTACATGATTGATGGGTCTCAGGTAAGATTCTGAGAATGGGTTGCCTGATACTCTCCTTGATCTTCATTGCCTTCCAATTCCTGATGTTTCTAGCTGGGGAAAAGCCTCAGACCCGAACAACAGCCCATTGGACGGTTGATGTGCGTATTAAGCCTGCCCAGAGTTTCTATGTTTGCCCCTTTCATGGCTTCACAATCCTGGAGGGGCCGGCTGCAAGCACGAGCAGCCAGTCATGTCACAGTAAGTTTGATGGATCAAAGTCTCACAGTGTGGGAACAAAAGAGAATTCGACCTCTGCACTAGAGTCACTAGAGACCGCCGGCCCGGACTTCGTCCTTTTCGATGAGCTCATCCTCAAGCAGCCCATCCAGCTCCACCAGCGCTTCCAAGGCTTCCAGCCTCGACCGCCTCGCCAAAGGGCCGTCGGACCGTCACTCCCGAGACCCCTGCGTCGCGCGTCCCCCTCGAGGGCGGAGGTGAGGGAGGGAGCGAAAAAGGCCAGGTTGAGATGCCATGCCCTGTTGGGGTTGGTTGGTGACACTGGCACACATCGAACACCTGGAACAGTCCATGGGCAAAAAAAACCTGGGGAATACGAGGCAAGGCAAAATGTCAAATGGGAAGAAGTCAAGGTCCTATGAGCCGATGGGTTCCAACTACTCAAAAAGCCAAGACGGGGACACTGCGGGATTCTCTGTTTGGGCTTTCCCCTTGCTGCAGTGGCCCATCCGCTACGAACGTGTTCTCTTGTCTAGTGCTCCAACAAAAACTGCCACTCAACGCAGGTGGAAAAACCGTTGAGCCTATCATCACCTGTGGAAGCCATTGGCTTTTGAGAAATCAGTGCCTTCGTGGACAGGGACAGTTTCAGCAAATCGAAAAAATGTGTCAGTTTCAGCCGGAACACCTCAAGAAATCTCTCAAAAGAAGAGAAAGAAGAACCTTGGGGAATCTATACCAACTGCAGAGGGCCAGTAAGGAACCCCCAAAAAACCATCGGGTTGGTCTTCAAAGAATGGTCTTCCGCCACCGGTGGTCCTTCTTCCATGGGATCCTTTGCGGGCTTTGCACGCTTCCCAACTGGCCCGAGGCAAAGACTGCGCCTCCCATGCCCTGACCTCCACCGGGCAGCCTGACCTGCAAGCATGGTAGCCACGGGTCGAAAGAGACGAATCCAATAAGACAGCCCTTCACAAGGGCAAACTGGACATGGGAAATCACTGTTTGATGGTGGGAGGGAGCATTTTACTTCCCGTCCAGTTTATAAACTGAGTCAACTGCACTTCTGGCAAAACTCGAGTTCATCCAAGCTGAAACTCTCTCCACTCAGCAACCAAAGATTATTTCAAAACGGGTCCTTTTCTTAGAAGGCGTACGCTTTTCTCCAAACCACAAGTGGTTGGTGGACCAATCGTCGAATGTTCACCACAAAGGCTCAGCCTTTGGATTAGTATGGATTAGTCATTAGTCTTAGTATGAATGAACCGAACCATGAGTTTATATAAAGCCCATCATCTGTGTGTAACAAAGCCAGTCAATATCGACATCGTCCTCCCACCCCTACGGGCCACGCCTCCGCCACCGGACACATGCCACGGTGCCCGGAACGGACGCATGCGACGTGCCAGCGTCATGGCGAGCCGTGGAGGCCACATGCGACCGATGGCACTGTGTCCATGCACTGGGCACTGGGCAGAGAGTCTCAAATTGGGCTGGTGTGTTGATTTCGGGCGACTCTCCAGCCCGGTTCCGGGGCCAAAACAACCTCTGATTGTCTGAACAAGCGGTCATGTTGCATCACCATCTCTTGACTCAATGCTGGCACAATGTAGGTGAACCATCCATCTGGGACACGATTGGAAATCAATTCTCCTTCAGTACAATTTCACCAAAACTGGGCACCCACACCATCCCTCGTTCTTCCCATTCTAAAACCATATTAGAATCTGCAATCTGCTGGTGGATCAGCTCAGTGGGGCAACTCATCAGCCAATTCTGGCGGATCCAACTGCTGCGCTGCTGTCGGTTTGCTTCGGCCAGTTCACCCAATAAATCACAAAAAGTCCTGGTTTTCCGCGTTCGGTTTTTCTTCACTCGGGTTTTCCAAAGGCCATGGAAGGCCATGGAATCCCATTCTATATGACCAGTGAAGTCTAAAGTGCCAAGCACAAACGGACATGAAGATACAGTAACCGTAACCTTTAGAATCAGAAAAGATGGAAAAAACCGATAGATTGGACGCTGCAGTTGGAGTCCATGGAAAGAGGTTGTTGCAATTTTTCTTCATGCTGAGAGGTGAGAATGGTCTCTGAAAACTGAAAACAGCACAAATATGGTGTTGATGAGGTTGTAGGTGTGGCCAAGCACCACAGGCGTGGCCAAACCACCGTCCAGACCCGTTTCATTCTTTCGAGCCGCCCCGTTTCGACCACTGCCTGGCCCTCACTACAGGAAAACCACCTCCCACATGCCCCCCCCCACTGCCCAACGGCACCGTTAGGCAGTCTTGCTCGCGCTTGGCAGCTGGAGTAAGCGCCTGCAAAACATCTTAGGGTTTTGATCTTCATGGTGAAGAATGAGGATGAACCTGTGAATCAATGGCACCCTTCATCGGGCCATGAGAATTTATGATATATATAATCACAAATCATCATCTTTCAAGGCATGGATCTGATAGATCTGAGTCATCCCAGTGAATGCGCAGTCGATGAGCAGAAGAATCAACACCAAACAGACCAAACGCATATAATGTGTACTAGGCAGCTAGGCATGTCAGAAATCCCTCTGTGGTGACGTACACTACCAAAAGAGCGCTGTAGCGGCACGTGGATAATCGGATAGGTACCGCTCCTAGCGAAGCCTAGGTGCAAAAAGATCGTGCAAAAAGACGATGAAATCCCTTTTTGTTGCCGTTTGGTGTTGACACGGGACACCCGGTTGTGGCTCCCGGTTGTGGCTCGGGGAGCTGATTGACTCGTCAGGTGTTCCAAGCAACCTCGACGTGCAGGGTTTGCTTTACAGAACGGTTCATGAAAGGAGCAGGAGCGTGATTCAGGCGGTGCGGGGCGTTGCGCATGGCGTGACGCGGCATCGTATTGAGAGTTTGAGTGGAGATCCCCTGGCCTGGAACCAGGGGAAAAAAGAAGAAAAGAGAGACAAGAGCCCCTAGTAGCTTCTTGTTCTTAGTAGTAAGGCACCTTGCTACTAGTAGCGTCCTTGCTCCTAGTAGTAAGGCCAGGAGCCGCTTAGTAGCTTCTTTGCTCCTAGGTTGGTTTTATTTCTTTTGTGTTCTTTCTTCTTGGGTTGAGGTTCCGAATCTTCCAGGGGCTCGGAACACCAATGCTGGGAGCTGTCCAATGCTTGAGCTACACATCTCGGAGGTGACTGACCTTTAGTCACCGGTGAGAAACACGTCTTGTTGTTCTGTCCCCACGCGGCTTGGCGCGCCAAGCACGCAGGACGGAGAACGCATCACCAAACGAAGAAAAACACCACAAAGCACTGGGAGAAGCGGGTGAATTCAAGAAAAAAACATCATCGCCCTGCATTGAAGAAACTCTGATCTTGACAAACCTATCACCTGTGTACCTCTATGTTGCTGTTGTTTCTTTAATTGAAAATTCCATGCTTCTCTTAAAGACTTCAAGGAACTAAAAACGACCAAGCAGGCGGAGATTGGAACACCGAAATCAATAAATGCAACTCTCTCTCTCTCTCTCCTCTCTCTCTCTCTCTCTCGACGTTCCAAATGGCTTGCTCATCTTCACAAAACCGAGCGAGACGAGATGCTCACCTCGGGTTAGAAGACTTCAGGTGCCTTGGCCTATCTGTCTGGCCAAGCCTTCCCACCCACCCCACCTCGATCAGTCCAGGGCCAACGCCTGGTGGCTCGCGAGGAGATAGTTCGTCGACAGATGGCTTGCAGACCGACAGCCTTTTTTTAGATGTATTTTTTCGGTTTCGTTGGCGTCTGCCAGACTGGAGCCAAAGCTAGGTCTTCCCACGGCCTTTCTCGCAAGTGCAAGGGACACAGTGCTGATTGGGAAAGGTGCGTTGGCTACGACTCGGGTGGTGTGTTTCCTGCATGCCATCAAGGCTGGACTGTTTTATCTTCGGCTACCTGGGAATGGCGGGCTCCAGGTTACGGTTAAGCAGCAAACGGACTTGTCAATTAATAAGTCAAAATGTGTCTGATAGGTTTGGACCCAACCTTTTTGAAGCTCCAATCGGGAGTTTTCGTCTCATACCTCGTAGCAACAAAGCTGAATACCTTGATGGGTTCCCAAACAGGGTCCCAAAGCCCAATACAACGCTGTTGGAACTTCCTCCCCGCTTCGGACAGGCGGAAAAGCCGGCTCTGGGAGCTTCGGCAGAGCTTGTCGGACAAGATCCGCATGACCACAGCACGCCAATCTGCAGCGGTGCGGTGCAGTGCGTTGTGCGCGGTGTAACACCACCAGTTCAGTTCAACAAGATCTAATTGAGTGTGGATGAGCCTATGCATACTTCAGGATGCGATGTAGACACATGAAGTCGAGGGACTCTGGATTCATCCCCAAGAGGAACATGAAGATGCAACTGGCCTATTTAGAACAAAGCAAGGCCGGAATTGGAATGCCAATCTTCCTAAAGAAGGCTTGCCCAAAGAAAGCCAATGAACAGCAAAGGAAGAATCATTGACACATGATTACCAGCGACACATGTTCCCAATATGTTACCATATGTTTTGACATGTTCCTTCCCGGTCCCATATGTAAAAAAGTAAAATGGTGTCCCATACAGTAAGTGGTATGCGTTCAATGTTTTTCATGGTGTTAGTCCTGTTCCACCCGTGCTGCCCGCTCTTCTGGGCGCACGTTCGGTGGGACCAGCGCTGCCAACGGCAAAGGTCGGCCGCGAGATGAGCTCCTGGGAGGTCCAAAAGAAAAAAGGAAAATCTCCAGTCATGTTCTCTTGGGGAAAGACGAATGTTTGGAGGATTCTTTGGTTTGGTGGATTTCCTTTTGGTTGGGTTCTTCACGGGCAGCCTTTTTTTCCTTGAAAAGGAGGAGCTTCGGACGACAGAGGCTGTCCCCCGGACCGTCCCAGTCTGGACAAGGCGAAGAAGAGTTTTTCGTTCCCGGTCTGGCGAAGTAAGATCTCCTAAACCCTAGGCTCTTGAGGTACATAAACCCTCCCAATTGAATGGGGTTTATGCTCTTCATATGGGGGGTGAAAGATCATCAAGAGTCACCAGTTTCGGCTTCCTGCTACCAGTTTGACCGGGACAAAAAGGAAGATTCTGGTGGCGCGGTGAAGCCATGAACTCACTGCTGCTGGCGCGCAGATTCTGCTCACCGAGCTGTCAGGACTGGGAGTGACCTCTCCTGGCGCCTCCGAAGCCAAGGCACTGACGAGTGGGTCGTCAGTGCCTTGGTGCGGGGCATGCTGCATGCCCACTCGGTGGGCGCTAGCCCCTGAATCGACTTGTTCACCGGTTCTTCTGCGAGAGAGGGTGAAGCATGGCCGAACAGAACACCTGTGAAAAGGTTGAAACTGGACACCTGGACTCGAGACTGTATGCGAGCCTCTAGACTAAAGTGGTTCCACTCCGCAGAAGTGTTCACATAAGGATGAGATATATAGATCTGTCAATGAACCAGACAACCTACTACACTTCTCGCAAACCCAAACATCACCCAAAAAACTGGGCCTGCGCCCCTCCTCCGTCGCCCTCCCTCAACCAAAACCGCCCGCTTCCTCGTGTCGTCGCGCGCGTTCGTGCACCCCCCCCCCGCTGTCGCCGTCGCGGCCTCCGTGTTGTCCCGGGTCTCGCCCATCTTCATGAGCACATGGCCTTTGGGCAACGGAACGAATCAGGTGCATTGAAACGGAACAGCTGGAACAGCGAACTGATCTGAAGTGATGGATTGAGTTCGCTGGAACTCTCATGGTTGTTTGGATGTCGTTGCGAATACCATTCATATCAATCAACTAAAGATCAGCTAGTGTGTAGGCGCGATGCTTGTCTCGGAAGGGGAGCTGTTCAATGAGTCTGGAATAGTGGCATCTTGAACTCACCATGATACGAGTAGATCCATTTCACAGCTTCATGCCGTGGAGCGGAAAAGCAACTGAAGCTTCTCCCATTCTTCTCCTAACCATGCCCAACCAGTCCCCCATTGATGCCATCCGCCTGCCGAAGGAGGCCCAAAAACGCCCAGAAAGGGCCGTGGGTTCACTCCCCTTCATGCCCCTCTCCCTCTTCCCCGGTGTCGTCGACCACCCAAAAAGCCGCCCTTTAAAAGAATGGCCGCCCCGAGCTCCTCGAAAGCGGAGCTGAAGGATCACCGGCTGGCAGAAGCGCTGGAGGCCCCCCTTGTGGGAGCGCGCCTGGAACGACCGCAGAGACCGCGCCGCGGTCGGTCTGACCGGGGTCGGTCGCCGCGGCGACCGCAGAGATCGCGCCCACGTGGTCTGAACGACGGCGGAACGGCGCCTTCAGCTAGTGCGTGTCGGGCGCGGTGCTGTGCGGTCCAGGTGAAAAGAAAAAGGCTGAAGTTTGGGGAAGAGTTGGGTTTAGTCTGAGGCATTTGAGGGAGGGGAATCCTCACTTCATGAATGCATTGGTCTAAGCAGTGTGCACTAAAGTTGCTGTGGTCGGATACAAGGGTTGCAAGATTATAATGTATCAAAAAGTCTTACTGTTGATGTTAGAAA